ACGTGTATTTGATTTGCTATCAAATTGTGTCGTCAGTCACAATTATATTTTCTGAACAAAACAACTGCACATCGTGATCGGCCACTTAAAAGGCCAGTTTCCTTCTTTGAATCCCTATTTCCATATTAATTTCTGCCCTTTCAGGACATTTGGGGGCCAATTTCCCACGCTAATACGTGACCAACATCCCCCCTGCACTGTTTTTTTCATTCAGCAAAAGAGAAAAGCAACAAGGAATTTATTTTTGCTGGCTTTCAAGGAATCTGCCTACGGATGAGTGGGTCAGAGAGAGACGGGATATGGGAAAAAGTTGCAGGTGGAGAAGGTGAACTAGCAAGGAAAGGCGGGATCATTTTAGATGCCGTAAATCAATGGGGTCATTAATTAAAATGCTTTTAGATTTGGTCTTATGGTGTATCCAAGGCAAGGTTTCTTTCTGGTCTCTTAGGAAGAAAGCCAACGCCAGCGGCCTTTTGGGTTTTCAGAATGCCAAGACATTCCAAAGAAATTAACCCCCTTGAAATCCTTTTATTGAAGAGAAATCCAAACCTTTTTGAGTTGGGCTTCTTAAGGACAATTATACCCTGGGTTGTTCCACGTTTTTCTCAGTAATGAAGAATTCCCTGCTCAGTTTCTTTCCCTACAAACCACTTGCTCTCTCTCATATTTTGCAAGCAAGTGAATTATAAAACAATGAAACATGTTTTTGGGGGGTTTTTTTGCCCTTTTGGAAGGAGAAGGCGAGAACCTTTGATGCAGATTCTAAAACCTTTTGAGGAAGAGCCCTCCATTCCCACTAACGTCTTGAAATAAAGAAAAGGCATTATTTGATGCTTGCTGGTCTCCGTCGCTCCCCCGGAAAGAGAAAGGAATTGCAGAAAAAGACACGGCAGGTTCAGTTCAGCCTTTCTGCTTACCCATGAGAGCCAACCTTTCTTCCTCTATCTTCTTATGAAGCTGCTTGATTTCAAAATCCTTTTCCTTCAACAGCTTGTACAGCCTGCCGTTCTCATCCACCAGCTCCCGAAGCTGTTGCTGGAGCTGTTCGTTTTCATTTTCAAGCAATCTAGGAAATAAACAGACAGCTTGACCTAGCCTACAGTTGCAATCCAGCCACAGAATGGGAGAGAAGAAGGTCTCTGCCACCCAAATTCATTCATCTCTTCTTCCTTCCCCCACCCACCCCACCGCTTCTCATGCAGAAAGAGAAGGGGCTTTCAAATTGCTTTCAGAGGGAGAGAGACTTAAAAAAAAAAATTGCTGGGAGTGTAGCTCGCTTTGAGATGACCGTCCCGTCTTTTATTGCACAATTCTCCTGCAGCCTGCAGCCCCCTCACCTTCCCACTCTTCCCTCAAACCTCATGAGAAGCTATCAAGGGCAAATGACTCCCATGGCTGTCTTCAGGGGCAATGAAGAAGGGGTAGCCCTGCCCTTGAGAACTCCTTGGAGGATTTCCCTTCCTTTGGAGAAACCGTCCGATCCATTTCTCTATTTAGAACATGGACAGCGAGATTTCAAAGGCCATGTAGTGAGACAGGCGGCATAGATCCATTTGAAAAATAAATAAATAGAAGCAAATAAATAAAATAAAATAAAATTTATGCTACCGCTGTGCTAACGTTGATGACCATTGATTGTCCTCTTCATTTCCCCCTTCTCCTTGCCCCCTGTTAGGATCATGGAGCTGGGAGGGTTGGGTTAGCACCATAACTAGTCATTCTGCCAAGATTAAGTGTTCCCACTTGTTTGTTCCAGGAGGGTCTGTAGGTTGTGTTCCAAAAAGTCAACACAGTGGCCCCAACGGTGCTTTCAAAGCTCTGCCCATTTTTTATGTGTGTTGCATACGCAACACACGTAAAAAGCAGGTGGAGCTTCCATGGCATCATCACAGACACCATCTTGAATTTTTTATCATGTCCTGCAGACATTCCTGGTCTGTTCCCTTCCTTCTCCCAAACCAGAGTAATATTCTGGAGGTCCTCTGTGGATCTGTTTTAGAAAGGATAAGGAGCAATTCTATGGAATAATGTGAGGCATATACGTATGTGATATGTGCAATGTGAAGAATGATTAACTCAGTGTTTCTCAACCTTGGCAACTTTCAGATGGGTGGATTTCAACTCCCAGCATTCCCCAACCAGTATAGCTGGCTGGGGAATGCTGGGAGTTGAAGTCCACCCATCTGAAAGTGTTTCTTAAAGTGTTTCTTAAAGTGTCTAAGAACCTCCAAGACCCTCTCAGGGCTCTGCAAATCAAAATTATTTGCCGGATATTGAAGGTGTTTGCAAAAAATTTAAAACAATGTCACTCTTCTCATTATTATTTTTTATGTTTTTAAAAACATTGGGTTTTTTTCATGAAAAATATTTTATTTATCTTAATGTCTAATGGGTTTAATACTGTTGTTTTTTCATGATTCAATAAATAAAGTTTCTATGAATGCATGAATGCTAATTTTTAATAAGGTAAATATGGATAAATATAATTCATACAAACAAAAGCTCTTTTGGAGTCCTCCATAATTTTTTAAAGTGGGAAGGGCTCCTGAGGATAAAAAGTTTAAGAAACACTGGTATAGTAGATGAGTGGAAAACTGTGGTTGAGATGTCACCTTAGTTTAGACCTGTGTTTCTCAACCTCAGCAACTTGAAGATATGTGGACTTCAACTCCCA